ACTCTGCAGCAGGCACACGGGGAGAGTTTCACACCACTGGCACGTGCTGCCCCTTTGTCCCCACTGACCTTTTCTTGCCCACCAGGATGCCCTCACCAACCTCCTCCGACGTTCCCAGCTGCACTTTGTCCACTGCCTCCTCCCAGGAATGGGGTCAGAGGGGCCAGGCCCTCATCCCCCTGCACCACCTGACACAGCCCCACAGCTGGACGTGGTGGCCTTGAGGACACAGCTGGAGGGGACACATCTCCTGGATGCCCTGCGCCTCCACCGCGTCGGTACGTCCAGCCCCACCACTGCCATGTGCTGTGCCCATCCCACCCTCTGCTGCTGCCCTGTAAGTGCCTCAGCCCTTCCAGGCTTTGCTCATCATCCACTTCTCACCAGCCTCATTCCAGAAATCTCCCATAATTTTGCTGCTTTTTGCAGGGTTTTCCAGCCCTTTCCTGCCTGAAAGCCCTTCCAGGCTTTGCTCATCATCCACTTCTCACCAGCCTCATTCCAGAAATCTCCCATAATTTTGCTGCTTTTTGCAGGGTTTTCCAGCCCCTTTCCTGCCTGGGTGGCTGCAGCTCCAGTGGGGTGCCCCCAGGTCCAGGCTGGACCTGCACTGACTGTGGTCACAGTTGATGTCCTGGGGAGAGGGACCTGTGCAGGAGGTCCAGGGGTGTCTCCTGCATGGCATGAGGTGCTGGGATGGCATCTGGCCACCTCAAGCTCATCTCTGTGCCCTCTGCTCTGCCCCCACTGCAGGGGTTTCTCTCTCATGGCAGCTCCCCTGGTTCCCACCACCCACAGCAGCACATAGGATGTGCCACCCTTTGCAGCTCCCTCCCTCCAGGTCCCTCCCCAGCATTCCAGTGCCACATGTCCCTGGGCTGCTGCAGTCCCCACCGTGTCTGTCTGCCCCCAGGGTATGCAGATCGCCTGCTCCTCACCCAGTTCCGGAGGCGTTTCCAGGTCCTGGCTCCGGAGGTGATGAAGAAATACACCTCTGCCTACGAGGTGCCAAACGAGAGCAAGGTGTGTGCTGGGCTGGCTGGGGGGTGGGCTGAGATCCCTGCTGTGCCAGCTCCAGAGCTGTCTCTGCCCTCCCCAGTGCCACCAGGGCTGTCTTTTCAATGAGGAGCAGTTCCTGGAGTTCTTAGGTTGGATATCAGGAAAAGTTCCTTCACTGCAAGGGATGTCCAGCCATGGCATGGACTGTCCAGGGCAGAGGTGGAGTCACCACTCCTGGAGGGTTTCAACAGCTGTGTGGATGTGGTACTTGGGGACATGGTTTAGTGGTGGCATTAGCAATGCTGGGGGAGCAGTTGGACCTGATGATTCTACAGGGCTCTTCCAACCTAAATGATTCCAAGAATCTAAACACTAGGCTGCCCTCAGGAACTAGGAGAAGGAGAAAACCCCACTCAGCACAGCTCAGGGCAGCACACCAGCACTGGTGATTGGGTCTGCAAGTCTCCAGTCCAGCCTGTGGGTCAGGCTCTGGGCCATTAGAGCTCTCTCACAAGGACCAGGAGAGATCAGTCCATGGGGCTGCATCCTGCGTGGGCACAGCCTCCTGCAGCACTGGTTTTGGGGGTGGCTTTGCATCCTGCTCCTCTTTGCCCTCCCCAAGGGGCCTGAGCACAGAGGGACACGGATCCTCCAGCAGCATGGCAGAGCAGCTGAGCTCAGCTCTGCATCCTGGAGCCTCTCCCCTGAGAACTGTTCTTGCCAAGGCAGTAAACACTCCTGGTGTGGGTTGCACTCCCAATGATATTGCACCGTGGAGAGGACTTGAGGAACTCAGACTGGAAATGGAACCTGTTATTGTGTCTTTTTAATAGTCCAGAGGATACAGCTTTGACAATCCTGTGTGCTGAGGATTCCTGCTTGTCCTGGTTTGCAGGACAGGGCATAAACTGGGACTGGAGACATGAGCAGAGGGCAGGATCTGTGCATTGCTGTGGCCCAGAATGGCAACCCCCCAGCCCTCTCCCTTGCTCCTCCAAAATCCAGCTAGTTAAGGACAAACCAAGCAGCATTCCCAGGCACACAAGGGAACAGGGCCCATGGAGACTCCTGGGAACCAGGGATCCCCTGCAGCCCAGGGTGGCTCCTTGCCTTGTCACACAACACCTGAGAGCCAAAAGACCTCAGCAAAGAAGGTGGAGATGTGTCAGTTTTCTTTATTTCCTAATAAATTTGTAGCAAAACCAGGGAAGACCCATCCCTGTCCCTGGAATCTGGCTATGGGCAAGCTGGAAAGAGCCAGGAGGAGATGAATTAAAGATGGGCACGTGCTCTGTTGTGCAAACTGCCAGCAGTGAGTGCAAAGGCAGTTAAGACCTTGGGATTTAGTAAGACAAGTTTGACAGTCGGAAAAGGTCAATATTGTTATGAAATGCTGTTGGAAGCAGAGGGTGCCTTGTCAGCAGTGTGTAAGCAGGGGATTTGAAAAATCCCATCCTCCCTGGAGCTTGCTGCCATGAGGTTTAGTTAGCTGGGGACTGCTTCCCGGGAAGCAGCATTGACCTGGCTGCTGGAGCAGGAGAGAGAGAGGCTGGTCAGTAGTGAGCTGACAGCACAGCAAACACCAGCCCTGTGCTCGTGCCAGGAAGGGAACGAGGGTAGGGGTGGGGATGGGATGATATGGCAGAGGGATGTGGGGGAATGGGGATGGGATGTGATGGGATCAGATCATCCTGCACAGCCC